AAAGTTTGTATGTAACTAGTCATTACTTTATGAGTCAAGGAAAGCATGGAGGGAAAGTTTGTATAGGCATGCAAGCATCAGACGTCCAAACGAAACATGCAATAGGCAGTCATGGCATTGTGAACCCAGTAAGGCCAGAGATGCAATCGAAGGTGGCATGTAGGAAACTCCTGCCTTGTAAATCAAAGCCAACGTGCCATAGGCCATCGCCCAGTCGAAGGATGCAACCAAAGCCTGTATCAAAAGAGGCCAAAAGGCCAATCGAAGGAGCTGAAACAAAGAACACTTGTATTTCTCCAAATTTTGTCAAAATCATATTTTTATCTATTTTCTCCCTTTTTGACAGTTTCCTTTTAATTTTGGTACTGGAAAATTCCAAAGTACTTGTGCAAGCTTGAACCTTGAGAATCCTTGTGAGAAAGGCCTTGAAGAATGAGAGGGAAAATTTTGGGGTACAACACATAGACTCATCTCTTCCCTGGATAATCACTTCAAGTGAAACTTTTGATTTTGGATGTCGATGGGAGGTAGTGAAGTTCCTCGAGAACATCTTTCCTAGTTGTTTCCAAGAGGTAATAGACTCATCCGGGAGGCTTCTGTACCAAGACATGGCTCATTTCCTTAGGGTAGTCAGGAATTGTCTACACTTGATGGCGCCCCTGAACCCTCAATAGTCAAGGAGGGTGTCGATATTCTCTATGTGTTCATCAGGATCGGTCATACTATCATACATTCCCAGGGAAGGTGGATTTTCCAGGCCAACTGGGAGCTGAGTTTCTGTAATCTCTCTTGATAACGGGCCGTGAGGCTTGTCGTTATCGCTTTCCTTAGAGGATGAAGGCATGGAGTGATAGTTCCTTCCCCTTCGGGCATCATTGTCTCATCAGGGGGAATGGATCCTTCGGTACTGTCTTGGTTTGGGCGACGGTGATCGGTCGCGGTCAACTTGGCAGTCGCTCTTCTTCTTCTTGGAAGATGGAGAGCTTTGATCTTTCTTGGGAGGTGTGCAGTTGTGTTTTTTGAAGAAAGAAACGTCGCGCTTCTCCTTTCTTGGCGAACGGCCACGTCTAGGTGGGGATATGCTATGGGAATCATGTCGTCAGTGTGTATGAGGAGGAGACTTTGATTGCTTCTTCTCCCAAGCCCTATATTCTCGTTCTGCTGCAGGATAAGGGTGTTAGTATGATTGAGGGCATCGAACAATGCTGTAATGGCTGGATCAGCGTTATGTGGAATGAGAACTTGTTGCAGAATCTACAACATTTCCTCGGTAGGTTTCTTGGGACGCTGCTCGTCCAAGAACTGATGGTCGTCGCGCTGGGCATCGGTTGAATTTGGGGACGCAGTCTGGTCATCGCGGAAGCCAAGGTTATCCTCAAGGTGAGGATGTTCTTGACTTCTGTCGGTCTTATGCGTCAGGGAAAGTGCAATCTTTCCAAATAGAAGGTGATCATCACGGTCATCCATTATTGATGAATGAGGAGGATCTTTTCTCTTCAAACTCTAAGGAACAAAAAATGGGGAAGATAGTTTCCCACAAACGGCGCCACTGATCTTATTAGTTGATCAGAACCCGCAAGGTGGCCGGATGATGATCTTCAGACGGGCTGGAAAGTCGAGGAGGAAAAGTGGGGGTTGTACCTATAAGGCACTCTAATGATCAAGTAAGTGTGGGAGAAAAAGAGATACAAGTAAAGTATTAGGGTTTTAGTGATGAATTTTGGATATTCGATATCTAGCCCTGACATGAGTGAAGGTTTATATAGTGTCATTGGCGCTTGGTCATTGGTTCCTATTTTTAAGCCTAGATATACGGGTCCGCAATAAAAGGTAAATGCCAAGACTTGGTCAAACCGGGCAGGTGTTGTAATGGCCAGATCAGCGTTATGAGGAATGGGAACTGGTTGCAGAATCTCTGACAGTTCCTCGGTAGGGTTCTTGGGATGCTGCTCGTCCAAGAACTAATGGTCACTGCATTGGGCGTCAACTGAACCTGGGGACGCAGTCTGACCGTCACGGAAGCCGAGGTTATCCTCGAGGTAAGGATATTATTGACTTATGTCGGTCTTATGCGCCAAGGAAAATGCAGTCTTTCCAAATAGAAGGCGATCATCACGGTCAGCCATGATTGATGAATGAGGAGGATCTTTACTCTTTAAATTTCGAGGAACAAAAAAATAGGGAAGATAGTTTCCCACGGACGGTGCTATTAATCTTACTAGTTGATCAGAACTCACAAGATGGTCAGATGATGATCTTCGGACGGTCTGGAAAGTTGAGGAGGAAAAAGTGGGGTTGTACCTGCAAGGCCCTCTGACGATCAAGTGTGGGAGCAAAAGAGGTACAAGCAAAGTATTAGGGTTTTAGTGATGAATTCTGGATATTCGATACCTGGGTCTCACATGAGTGAGGGTTTATATATTGTCCCTGGCGCTTGGCCATTGGTTCCTATTTTTAGGCCTAGATATATGGGCTTGCAAAAATAGGTAACTGCCAGGACTTGGTCAAACTGGTCAGTTCCTGGTTGTCTGGCCGACTTGAGGTCAGGTAGACTGAGAGGCGCTCGTCAGATGTCGTAGGTCAGTGCTGGTCCAGGAGGACAAATGATCGATGGTGCCCGATGGAGGGCGGGGGAGCCCGAGTCGTAGTCGCACGGGCCGTGCCGAAGAAGGATGTCAGACTGGGCCCACTCTAGCTATCAGGCCAGTCCAAAACAATTTGCATCCTCGTCGCCGCCTTTAGAACGTCCAGATCCACCTCTACGGTGGATAATACATGGTATGTGATTCTTTTTTATCCACCTACGGTGATAACCATTGGAAGTTACTTTACCCGCCTATTGCGTAAATGACCATCAACATCATCTTCATTGTCTCCTCTAGGGCTCTTTGCAACAACATTAATATGTATTTCGCTTAATCTAGGTATGACGCCACCATCTCTTCCTCTTTGTCTCACTAAAAACAAAATAAATCATAAAAAAAAATTGCCAACCAAATTTTGTAAGAATCCAATGTCACCCTTACAACAACCAGATTTTCACAAATATCTAGTGTCGCGTAAATTTTCAATCGATATTTTAACAAATCTGATATAACCATATTCATTTATATTTGATTTGTTAAAAAATATGGTACAATACAAAATAATTGACTCTGAATCTTATGAAAATCAGGAATAAATGCATACATTTAATGCATTTATACCAAAAATTTTATGATTTTGAATAGAAAACTTAACTCATTTAATTAATCAAATGTTGTTCAATACAAAACGGAATCACATTAACAATACTATGTGTAGTTCAAGAATTAACCATTTTTGCTAACTTCACTTGGGGCTTAATAAACTTAACCTCAATGTTGAAAAAACAATGTAACAAACTCTTAATAGACATAATGGTTGAACTAAATTCAGAACTACCATTATAATTATAATGAATATCTTAAACCACCATTTGAGAATTACTTTCGAAAATTACATTATCCAACCACATTCCTATAGCTGCTTGAATTGCCTCTTTCAAAGCCATGACTTATACTTCTATGATCAAGAGAATACCAAATCTCAAGCTACACCTGCAATAATGAATCTCCCAAAATGATCATTAACACATCAACTCCTATTCATTGTATCTCTTTGATTATAGAATCCTGCATCAACATTACACTTCACCCATCCCTCATTCGACAAAATCTAAAATGTAACATCCGAGCAATTCCACACAAATCTGAAATGTTACAAAACTTTTTAAAAAATCTAAAATATTTAATTTGATTTTTACAATTTCAAATTTTTTTATATTAAAAAAACATTTTGGTCATTTCATTCAAAGTTTAGGAAAGCCATATAATTTTCAAGAGTACTATATAGAAGAGTAAAATTATAAGTGAATTCTTAAAAGTACTCTAGATTTCAGAAATACATTTCCGAATGCAATATATATATATATATATATATATATATATATATATATATATATATATATATATATATATATATATATATATATATATATATATATATATATGAATCCTATTTTTATGATAAAATTTATTCCAAAAAAATATCTTCGAAAACTCTCTAAAAATACATTTTTGACACTTCAACCGAATAACACACAAATTTTAATTATCACTTAACCGACTCCAATTATTATATTTCATTTTTGACACCTCAACCGAATAACACACAAATTTTAATTATCACCTAACCGACTCCAATTATTATATTTTTAATTCGAAAATGGGAAAGAGTGGATGTCATATACAACTATATTATGGATAGAAATTATATAAAACCTTTCAACTAAGGCTATGTCCACAAACAAAAATTCTAATATTAAGCCACAAATTCGTCGGGCTTTACTCGTATATTGTATGACCAACTCTAGAGAATTCTATTTACCAACTATGATGCCACACTAGTGGTAATAATAATTAAACAACTATTAATAATCAAATAACTTACTAACAATTAATTCATGATTTGACATAGAACCATTTTTGAATTCTGAAAATATGTTCCAGGATTAGTTTTTACAAAATTAAGGTGAAGTTTATTATATATCACTTGTTCACCTAAAATTTTAAAATAATAAAGGAATCAATTCTCTTATTTATAAATGTTTAAATTATTATATTCTTATTAATATATGATTATTTTTTTCACTTATTTACCTTTACATTATTATTCAAACACATAAATATACTTTTAAAATTTGAGAAATATTTTCAAATTTTTATAGAATTTTTCAACTTTGTAAGATATATTAATGTATTAATAAATTCTCAAATTGTAGAAAGAGTCGGGATGGATGAGTCCAATTAACTTAAGAATATAGCACCCAAACAAAAAACTTATACTCCCTCTATTATAAATTATAAAAAAATTTCAAATTTCAAATTTATTTAATAGTTAATGTATCTGATTTATATATAAATTAGATACATTGATTATTCACTAAATTTTAAAAATAAATTTATCTTTTATAATATGATATGAGGAGTAAGGATCTATCTCGAGTTTCTGTATTTTTATTTCACCTCTATGATTTATTTTTTATGAATTTCTCCTCTTCCATTCAATTACTTGATGTTATGTTTGAAATGATTCAGATATCGATGTTTGTGATTTAGGGCCTGCAAGGTGTTATCGACAGATCAAGAATAAGCCATACCCTAAGTCACGTTTCTGTCGCGGGGTTCCTGATCCTAAGATCAGAATTTACGATGTCGGCATGAATAAGAAAGGTGTCGACGAGTTTCCTTTCTACGTCCATCTTGTTAGTTGGGAGAAGGAAAATGTGTCAAGTGAAGCATTGGAAGCTGCTAGGATTGCCTGCAACAAGTACATGTCAAAGTTTGTTGGAAAGGATGTGTTTCACTTGAGTACTTGGATAGCTCTTCTGTTCTGTTATTCATCATGGGATATCTATTTTTGCATTTGGTTTAACAGTCACTTTAAATGCTTGCTCAGGGGTTTCACCAAGTTTAACCGAGTCGATTACCTCAAGTACAAGTCAGAGAACAGGATTTTGCCTGATGGTGTGAATGCTAAGGTAATTGGTGCCTCTTGTGGGTCTTCTCATACATATTTGACTATAACACTACACAGTTGTTTTGTTTGCGGTTGATCTATTTCTGAGTCATTTTATTTACTTTTTCCTTGTGGTTTTGCAGCTTCTTGGGTGCCACGGCCCATTGCCTAATCGTCAACCTGGAAGAGCTTTTATTGCAGCTTCTTAGGTGGTCTGTTTTTTTTAGACCAATTGTCTTTCACCGCAACAGTTGTGCATGATAGATTTTGAATTTCTGTTTGTTTTTCCTGTAACATCAAATCATGCCAGACTGTGTCCTTATTTGCGAATTACCTTTACTGAATGGTTCTTAATAGTTCAAACTCGTATTGCTGTTATTCCATCTGTTTAAATTCATGCAACTATATTAAGCAACAAAATGTACACAACCATGCGCATGAATGAAAATTTTGAACATTGAAAACAGCTTCTCTTTGCACACAATACGTCCATCGTCGAAATGATGAAAATGCATTAGACATTGAAATATTTTGGGTGTTTTCAATTTACGAAGAAAAAGAATTACTACTACACTGAACAAACAAAACCAATGATATATAGTGAATGAAATGAGATGTCTGTTAAGGGTTAACCTTTTTTGTTTGGTAAAATACATATGTCTTGTTTTGCGAGTAATTAGTATGTTAGCTTTTTTATATATTGTAAGTTAGCACTAGTAGTTACCAAACATTTATGTATTCTGCAAATTATAATAATGTTTGTTAATGAATGATGAAGATAGAACATTCACACCAAACAATTGAAGTTAGAGGCCTATACTTGGGTCTTAATTTGCAAAATTACTTTGTGCAATTTAGTTCTTTCAAGCTTTCTTTTTCTTCAACCTTGGAGGATTCAAACAATTTGTATCACATACAATTCTCTGATTTGAAGGCATCTATGATCATTAGTCCATCATGTTGATGGAAAAGTTGTTGTGATCCAGGGAGTATTGGACCCATTGAGAAAGGAGTGATGGCTGAACATTCAGATGTAAAAACAATGTAGGAATGACCTTTTGATCTTTGATTTTGACGAGACATTTGGAGAACAGACAGATTGAACGATGACTGAAATGTATGAGGAGAAAATAAATGTAAAGCTTCAAGTCTACTAACATACTAGTACTTTCTAACTGGCTTGAAAAATAACATGTTGAGCATATGTCAACTTCAACAGAAAGACATCACAACCATCCTCAAGAATTATTCTTGTAAGTTTCATGAAGAAAGATGCTTGATAAATGTCAACCCGGCCTCCATTCTTTTTTATAAGTAATTTTTGTCTTTTAAATTCATTGAATAATTGATGTATCTAATTTACATATAGTCTAAATACATTATTTAATGAATGAATCTAAAAGTCAAAATTTACTTATAAAAGAAAATGAAGAGAGTATTTACATGTGATATTTGCTCCGGTCGTTATTCTTTACTATTGTTTTAAGATCTCAAAGGTGAATGATGCTCAAATTTGGCTCTACAAATATGGCCACCTAGATTTCAAAAGTTTTAGCACATTGACACAAATAAATGGTAAGTGATCTATCCAGTTTGATAGATTCTTATGTCAAATGCACTAACTATATGAAGGGAAAGCAATATACATAAGTGATTCCTATCAAAAGTTCTTAGATAGCAATTGATAAGATTCAACTGATGCGTTGTGGTCGCATTAATCCTGAGTTCAACGGCTCACATTAATCTTGAGTTCAACGACTGAAAAAGAGAATTCATAATCTTCACAAATAACTTTAGTAGAAAATTATGATTTATAAGTGAAGAATTAGAAGGGAATTCATCATCTTCATAAATGACTTTAGAAGGAAAAATATGGATTTATAAGTGAAAAATTAGAAGTGGTTGAAGTATTTCATAAGTTTCAAATTCATGTTGAAAAGGAATTAAATTATAAAATTCCATGGTTAAGAACTGATAGAAGAGTCAAATATACTTCTACTTATTTTAATGAGTTTTTTGATGCACACAAATTAGCAGACAACTTATTGTTGCCTATACTTCTAAAAAATTATTTGAGAGGAATAACATAACCATATTGAATAGGGTTGACAAAATGGGCTCGATCAATTAGAATGTATGTTTCATCTGCACTTTATTGTGAGGCGGACCAAGGATTTAGGCTCACACCTTTTAATGTTTCTACCCCGTCTTGTTTTTTTTTTGGGCGCAAACATTTATATGATTTTTGTATGTTTTGACCAAGAAGATACAGTGTACGCGGGTACGCTCTACTCTTACTTTTAGTGCGGGACGAGGAAAAGTTTTATGCCTGTATTCTTAAGTATGTCCGCCCGTCTCGCCCTATTTTCTTGCGGACTTTTGCAGAGTAAACCTAAATAGGCGGACATATTTGATTGTCACCTCTAATATTGAATATAAGAAGATGTATGCTTAGGGAAAATAATGTATTAAACTTTAATGTTTCTACCATGTCTTGTTTTTTTTTTGTGCGGACATTTATATGATTTTTGTGTGTTTTGACTTAGAATGTACAGTGCCTACGGATCTGCTCTGTTCTTATTTTTAGTGTGAGACAGGGAAAAGTTTTATACCTGCATTCTTAAGTATGTCTGCCCATCTCGTCCTATTTTCTTGCAGGATTTTGCAAAGTGAGCCTAAATGGGCGGACATATTCAGTTGCCACCTCTAATATTAAATAAGAAGATGTATGCTTAGTAAAAGTAATGTATTAATGAAGTTTTTGCATAGAACAGTCAAGTGGCCGGTTCATGTTTTGAATAGATGCTTGTATTAAGAGATATCGCACTAAAAGAGACTTGTAGTGGAATGAAACCTTAAGTGCATCTTTTCAGAATATTTGGATGTATAACATATGTTTGTGTGTCATGCAATTTGATAAGAAAACATAATGAAAAAAACACATAAATTTGGAGATTGAAAAGGTTGCTAAATATGAGATTGGAAGAAATGCCATGAATTTGGAAATTTAAACTACTGAGAACAATGACACATGAGAACTCACTACTCTGCCCATGAAATCCAAAACCATAGATGTGAAATGGATACACAAAACTAAATTCAATGAAAGAGAGAAAATAAAAAAATACAAAGGAAAGTTGGTGGTCAATGAATACCCTTACTAATATGGAGTGGGCTATAATGAAATATTTGCTTTAATAACTTGGGTTGCTTTTTCCACACCCTAAGACTTGCTTCCACACCCTAGTGAAAAATAAAAATTATCTATAAAATTTGAAAATGCATATCCAAATCCAAACGCATCATATTCACATACAACTCATTCGTTTTTGAATTAGACCCCAATTTTATGTTAAAAATTAATACGGAAATACATCTCCATATACTTTTCGAAGATGCACTTTTAGACGTATTTTTAATCAAATACGGTCAGACTCTCTTTTTCTTCCTCATTTCATTGTACTCTCTCAAACTCTCTAACCCTCTCAACTCACGTTCAAATTTCTACCACCAATATTCAATTGATCAAAGAGTTCACCATCAAACTCACATTTGATAAGTTTTTTTATTTTTCTATGCAATTTTTATTTTTTATACATTTATAAAAATTGAGCATTAAATTGTGTTTATAAGTTATTTAGATATGTTATTTAACTGAGCAATGTATTTGTTAAGTAGTTTAAATGATCAATGCATTTTTTATGATAGATTGAAATATATTTATGCCAATTTCATTCTTTTCTAAGTTGCAAAACAATACGAAAAATTCACTTATGGATTTGTTCAACGTTTGGTTTTCCAAAATCTGAAAATGTATGTATTTAGTTTGTCTTTATTTTCATTGTGTTTCGTCTGGATAAAACTTATGTGGTTTAATTGTAAGCATTATGGCTAATAACCAATAAATATTGAGGCACAATAGAGTTATGCATCGATTCAAAGGGAAAGAACAAACTGACAACAAGTTGTGTTGGTAGCCTTTAAATTTTAAAAAATATCAAACACATTTAAAGATATAGATGTAAACCTTTAAAGTCTTTCTCTACAAAATCCTTTAAAAACTAACTCAAATTGTCCTTGGAGTGCTAATGCCACATTTATTATTTTTCTCACTACTATACCATTATATATTATTTATTAACTTTCACTTTATCCAAACACTCTTCTAACTATAATTAATAAAGATATGATAGTAATTGATATTAACTTTATCACTAATTTCAACTATTTTTTATTTTAAAAATACCAACTCGTATCTCAATTTTTTGTGAAAGACTATTATGGATTTTACTTTATTCAATTTCTCATTCATATATAAGAGCCGTAAATATAAGCTAACTCATATGGGACGGTCTGCCAAACTCGGAAAATTATAAGATTTGGATCTTAAAATTAGAGACATATTTTTCAAGGATTGTTTTAGTCTGACACTAAAAAGTCGACTATCTATTAAGCTAGTATGTATGAATCGTGAGTAGTCTGTTAGACTCGCTTAAGTATAAATTAAAAAAGTATATTAATTTTATGTTGTCTCACTTCAAAACAACATAATATTTTTTTCTCACCTCACTATGTTTTTATATATATATATATATATATATATATATATTCTATTCAATCTTTCTCTTTTGAATATTCTATGTTAATATATTCAAATTAATATTTAACTATTTTGTGTTTTACTTAACAATTTCTTCATATTCTATTAGTTTCTCTTACGTTAAATACTGTATTATTTTATACAAACATGTATTTGTAAGAACAAGATTAGGTTATGCATCTGACCTTTAGTTTTGATAATAATAATACATTATTTTTAGAGAATAATTTTATACCCTAATGGTTTTGTCTAGTGTGTATCTTTTTCTAACATATTCTGACTCTGAAGACAAGGCGTGTGACATCATCAATTTTGGAACTCAACACACTCTAACTTTGGAGAGATACAAAGTGTGGTTTACAAAGTATTTGTCAAGCTCTAGAACGCTTTTAAACAAATGATTCTGAAGAACGTTTGTTTAACAACTTTTAATTGTGACTCTGATTGAAGAACTTTTGGAATTCCTATTCTACCCTCCAACAAAATTTTCTACGCCTATATAAAGAAGCCCTTGGAAGATCGGAAGAAAAACTTTTGATAATAATTTTTCACACAAAATTGTGGAGAGAACTTGAACGTAAATATTTCATCTTTGTGAAAAAACTGTAA